AAAACCCCAAACACAGAAGTCAAGGGTCAAGAGCCCAACTAAAGCAAACACTGATCTCTAACATGGTTACTTCAAATAAATAAATCAACATCTAAACCTTAGTTAATTCTCAGTAAGATCTTCTATAGACGTCTGACAGAAATAAAGTCAGTCTGCTTATTAATAAGTTAAGCTGGAGCTGGTTGTAAGTGTTTATTATATTATATATATGTTTATAAATTGTTTACTTTTTTCTAAGATTATTTTTATGAAGAAAATAAGTTACATTTATTATTTGTGAATTAATTTTGTTATTTGGTTTGGGACTTTTATTTTGAAATATCGATGTTGTATTTAATGGCTGACTGCCTGCAAGGTTCTCAGTTCCTGTAAGCAAGCCAGTGGCAAACATGAATGTTTACCTTTGAGCAAGGGCCAATATTGGTTTAGATGTAATTTATGCATATTTTCTACCTATAAATTTGGGTTAATCTAGTTGCTCAAATGTTAGAGCCAAAGGAGCCAACAGTTTATGTAAGAGACAGCATTAAGGATAGTGTAGATTCTCAAGCACAACCTGAAATAAGTCAAGAGGGTGTTGAAGCACAGCAAGAAGATGGACAACAGTCAAGAAGTAAAAGAAAAAGAACTCTTACAGAGAAGGGTAGAGAAATGCAAGCTGCAAAAATTAAATCACTTCAACAAAGGTTTACTTATATTTATAACAAATGGAAAACGTATGTCAAATCTTCTAAGCGGACGTTATCACAACCAACAGAGACTCTATCTGATGATCTGCTCAATGATATCATTGGTGATGTGGTAGGTCTTTCTGTAGATGTCCAGCGTGTTTATGATGAGCTACGCAAAATTTCAACTCCAGAGCAAGAAACACGTCGAAGAGTGGATTTGTGTATGGAGGTTTCTAACTTTATTGTATCCAGAGCCTCAAGTCGATTGCAAGGAGGGACTCCTGAAGGAGAAAAGGAAGACTGGCCGGAAGCAGGCTCTCTCTTCAAGTCGTACCCAATCTAGCTGAAATGGAAATCAAGCGAGACTTCTTACCTTCAAATTTCGGCGAGGCCACAATGTACGAACTCCACCATTTTGCGGATGCAAGTGTCACTGGATATGGTGAATATACTTACCTGCAAGCAGTTAACAAGTCTAATAAAGTTCATTGCTGTTTGGTGATGGGAAAAGCAAGAGTTTCACCAACTAAAGTTACAACTATACCAAGGCTAGAACTCACAGCAGCAGTTGTTGCAGTGCAAACAAGTGACATGCTTCGGAATGAGCTAGAAATTCAAGATCTAAAGGAGTTCTTTTGGACGGATTCTACAGTCGTTCTTGGCTACATAAATGATGCCAGACGATTTCATGTGTTCGTAGCCAATCGTATTCAGAGAATCAGATCCAGTACAAAGCCTGAACAATGGGCTTATGTTGCCTCTGAGAACAATCCGGCTGATCATGCATCTTTGAGGTTTGACAGCAGAGCAACTTAAAACCTCAAATTGGTTCACAGGACCAAAGTTTCTTTGGCAAACGGAACTACCCGAAAGAGAATGTAAGTTGGGAGAAATTAAGGAAGATGATCCTGAAATTCGCAGGGCTCTTGTGTGTAATACTGTTGCAAAGGAGAGCAGATCATTATTGGATAACCTACAGAAATTCTCGGACTGGTCAAGAGTTGTAAAGGCAGTTGCTAGACTGAAACGTAAAATTAAAGAATTCAAAGATGTGAAGCAACCAAACAAAGAAAGTACAAGCCTGGAAGAAAGGAAAGAAGCAGAACTTTTTGTCATCAAGCTGGTTCAAAAGGAAGCCTTCTTAGATGAGATAAAGAGTTTGAAGCTAAAGAAAGTAGTTGCCAACACCAAAAAGAGCAGGCTATACAAGTTAAATCCATTCTTAGACAAAGAAGGTATCCTGAGGGTCGGAGGACGCCTAAGTCAAGCTACGTTGCACCCATACATCAAGCATCCAGTAATACTTCCCAAGAATAGCCACATGTCAGCTTTACTTATTAAGCACTTTCACGAAAAGGTACATCATCAAGGACGTGGAATGACAATGAACGAACTGCGAGCTAATGGATGGTGGATCCTGGGATGTAGCGGTGTGGTCTCATCACACATCTTTAAATGTGTTAAGTGCAGAAAGTATAGAAGGCCTGCAGAAGAACAAAGAATGGGTGACTTACCGCAAGATAGAATGGAAACAACTCCACCATTCACTTACGCTGGTATTGACTGCTTTGGTCCAATATATATCAAAGAAGGAAGAAAGGAGCTCAAGAGATATGGTCTTTTACTTACCTGTCTATGTTCAAGGGCCATACACATAGAGATGATTGATGATATGACCACTGATTCATTTATTAATGCTTTAAGAGCGTTCATTGGAATAAGAGGAAATGTTCGTCAGTTGAGATGTGACCAAGGAAGCAATTTTGTTGGAGCAAGAAGAGAGTTTGCAGAACTCATGAAAGGAATGGATCAAGAAAGAGTTAAGGCTCTAGGATGTGAATTTCTTATGAATCCTCCAGCAGCAAGTCATAATTTGGTGGGAGTGTAAGTGTTTATTATATTTTATATATATATATATATGTTTACTTTTTTCTAAGATTATTTGTATGAAGAAAATAAGTTACATTTATTATTTGTGAATTAATTTTGTTATTTGGTTTGGAACTTTTATTTTGAAATATCGATGGTTGTATTTAATGGCTGACTGCCTGCAAGGTTCTCAGTTGGCGTGGAGAGGTTCAAACAGCGGCAAACATGAATGTTGAGCATGTGCTCAATGGATGTCTCTTCTGGCAAGGGATTTGGATGTGAGATTAAGGAGTATTAAAGACAATTTCTTTCATATAGCATGCAGCCAACGAGGTATTTCGCTTTATATTTGCTTCTTTTCTTCAGTGATTCTGTTTGTTAACAGCACACTGTAAAAATGTACTGTAAAATTTACAGTAACTTACTGGCAATTTTGGTTGACAGTAAGACTGTAAATTTACAAAAGTACTGTAAATCAATAATTGCAATTGTACTGTAAAAATACAGCAAACTCTTGTATGCTGTAAAATTGTTTTTTACAGCTATCACTGTAAATGTGAGTGAAATTACAAGAGCACAAGAAATTACAGTGAAGATTTTTCACTGCTGTGATGGTGTGTAAACATTTGGTTAACTTATTTCATTTGAGCCCACTTGAAAGCAATATTTCTTAGTAGGGTTGTAACGATTCACTCAACTCACGATTCGATTTGATTCACGATTTTTTTTTTACAAAATGGACAATTAAGACAAATTATAAATTAAATGTGTCCTTTTATTATTGCTTGGACAAAATGCTGCACGTTTCTTTTGTGAAATTGAAATATAACACTATAATAATATACTAATATAGCACTAGCTCCTCCGACATGTAGTGAAGCTCCGCCCACTGCAACACATCATCAGTGAAGCTCCTCCCACATGTTCACAGGTAGTGAAGCTCCGCCCACTGCAACACATCATCAGTGAAACTCCTCCCACATGTTCACTGGTAGTGAAGCTCCGCCCACTGCAACACATCATCAGTGAAGCTCCTTTACAACTCTTAATTTTTACAGTGTTTTACCGTAATTCTACCATGGAAATTAACTCCGCTCCCATTGCTTCAAACAGTTCGAGTTTAAAAACTAGCATTCAGACAATATTAGTACTGTGAACTTATTTCATTTGAGTCCACTGAGAAGGAATATTTCTTAGTATAAAACTGCAAACACTTCATGTGTAATAGTAAAGTTAAAAACATGACTTTAATTCAAATCTTTGCAGTTTATCGTCAGCTATAAAACACATGTATGTACTGAAGCACTTAACAAAGAGATCATCACTGCATTAACTTCACAGTTATTCTCTTTAAATAAAGCAGAAGAACTTCAGCGTTTGAGGCTCATCATTGACTGAAGCACAGGCTCTACTCTCCAGCACAATGGTGACCCACAAAACTACATTAAACTAACAGATCTCTCTTGTGCAAAAACGCATTAATACAGTTCAGTTACAGTATCTCACAGAAGTGAGTACACCCCTCACATTTTTGTAAATATTTTATTATATCTTTCACTGTAAAACCTTTCATTGTAAATGTACAGTGAAATACTGGCAGCTGGGTTGCCAGCCACTTACTGTATTTTTACAGGACTACTACTGTAAACAACATTTACAGTTCTATACTGTAATGACCAAATACAGTTTTATACTGTTATACAACTTTTTTTTTTTTTACAGTATTAGACTGTTATTTACAGGGAATACTGTAATTCCTGCTTTTCATTCAGTACTCTTAGATTTACAAAAATTTAAAATATTATACTTTTTCATAACGGTAGTCACAACAGAAAAGAGAAAACAACATTCTCTGAGTTTTAACACATTTATTTATTTTTGAAGAAAAGAAGAGAAAATTGCCTTATATGAACATATTGGCTGAAATGCCAGCTGTAGTTTTTTTTTTTTTTAAATATAAAACATGGAAAATACAATTAACAAGTAATTCACAATCTTATTTGTGACCCTGGAGCACAAAACCAGTCTTAAGTTGCATGGGGATATTTGTAGCAATAGCCAAAAATACATTGTATGGGTCAA